ACTTGATATATAGAAAGTGATTTCTCTTTCTTTATCTCCTACAAAGTTGGGAGCGTGGAACTGTCCAAATCATCTTGATATGCTGAAGCATTAAGAGTTTGTTTGGCTGAATCTAAGGGGCTGAACTTCCCCCTCAACCAAACTTTACATGTACCGGTCTCCTGGCAACCGCCAAACCCAGACTCATCCATCAGACTGCCAGACAGAAAAGTGTGATTCATCACGTCAGAGAACGCGTCTCCGCTGCTCCAGAGTCCTGTAGCAGCACGTTTTACATCACTGCATCGGACGCTTTGCGTTGCCGTTGGTGATGTAAGACTTGGGTGCAGCTGCTCGGTCGTGGAAACTCTTGAGCTAATTGTGAAGCTTGGAGGTCTGTAGTGGTTGACTGCAGAAAGTTGGCGACCTCGACCCCACTCTGTGATTTCACGTAGCCCAGCACTTCGTGACTTCTGTCCCAGATGTTTGTAGAAGCAGTCTGCACGCCTACATGCTGGCTTTTATACACCTGTGGCCATGAGAGTAATGGGAACACCTGAATTCAACTATTTGGATGGGTGGAGTAAATACTTTTTGAACTGTAGCGTAGATTGTTTGAGCAACATTGGAGAGCTCAGATGAAGACGAACTGCATCTGGGCTCAAGGTTGCGACACACTTCCTTTTTCCCGCAGTAGAAATGTGTCGCTGAGAGTGTGTGTGTTTGTGTGTGTGTGAGTCTTATCGCTGGAGTAAGAACGAGTAGGAAAGACGCCCGATTTGTATCCGTCTCTTTCAGCATCAGAACACTCAGCATTTCGTTCTCGATAACATTTCTTGACGCCATCTTTCACCACTATCACATGATCATAATCTCCTGACACAGATTATGAGAGCTCACCAGCCAAACCAGTGGCACAACGGACTCTGTGTACAATTCGATTTACTAAGAGATGTCAGGCATCCAGCTGACACTCCCACAGCAAACTGAGTCACCGTCATGAAAAGGATAAAAAAAAAACACATTTCCAGTCAGAACTGAAGTGAAATAACTGGATTTCATCAGGATATCCAGCAAATGTATCCATTTGACAGAAAACTGCTCAGAAACTACAAGCCTGAGTTTTTGAGGCCAGTGATTCTTTTTATGACACCACCAAACATTTAAAGAGGCCTTATTCTGCATTTTCTGTTGCACTGTTACAGATGCTCATATTAAAATGCCGGTTAAGAGCAGCGAGACTATAAAATCAGCAATAGAATAATAGTTAACAGATGCGTGTCACGTCTTCAAGCTTCTCCAGTTATTTTTAGTTAGCTATAGAAGGAGTGATGTCGAAGATAAAGGTCCAAAAATAGAAAGAAATCACCAGGCCAACAAAACGCACCAGCTGAAACATGCATACTTTTCCTGTTTGCGCAATGAAACGCTTGATGCATGTGCAGGTTCAGGAAACGTGTGCAGTTTCTGAGTTTGGCTTGATTCACGGGAGTTAAAGTCATGTTAGTAAAACACATGTAGCCCAAGCTCATCCTCTAACCCATCATTTTATAAATCAAAAGCCTAAAAGATCTCACAGTTTTGTCCCATTACAAAGAAATCCTGCTGCACCTTTCTTTCACCTCACACTCAGCAAAGAATCAATCAGTGAAATTAGAGAACAAGCACAGAACAAGTAAAAGCAGAAGTTATTTGTTGCACCACAGCAAATGTCTTGCATTGTTTAAAAAAATGACAATAAATAAATGGAGATTTAATGCTGCATCTGTAGATGGAAAAACAGGAACTTTTCAGTCAAGTAATTGAATACTGACGATGAAAATATATCTCACTTTGTTATTTAATGGTTTAAGCATTACTTCGTCCTTTCTGAAGAACAGAATACAGTGAAAAAAATGTTTTTAGTCTAGTGGCTCAGATTGGACTCTTCAGCGAGCTGGTTCGGGCACATATGAAGAACTAGCTGCTGAGCATGGACCAGTTAGTTTGTGCGTCTTGTCTTTGTATTGGTAAATAGTCAGAGTGAGGTTTACTGTTACACCTGCAGATACAACATGAACACAAAATCAGCAATCTGTTGGTCTGCCTGGGATGGAGTCAGATTCCCAGCTTGAGTTATTCTTTTAGTCAGCCAACAGCTACAGTTTCTAATAACGAGGTCAGTGCATGTACAAATACTCCCTGGGAGCCTAAAGCTCATTTTTCAGCCTCCTCTGAAAACTTTTTCCTTGTCTGAGCTCTGAATGATGTCAGCGAGGGAGGTTATCCTGTATGTGGTAAACTCAGGCTGAAACGCTCCACCCGTCTGTTGCTCAGACCTACGAGGAGCTAAAACAGCCTGTTTCACACAGATCATAAACTGCATCAAGGCTCAGTATTAGATTAGAAAGGTTTATTCTGAATGTGAATCATGCAAAGCTACTCTAGTAGAGTCCACGAATGTAAACAGGGACCAGAAAATGAGCACTGGAAGAATAAAATATGGTAAATGGCCTGTATTTGTAAAGCGCTTTTCTAGTCCCTGATGACCCCAAAGCGCTTTACACAACATCCAGGCATCCACACATTCACACTGGTGATGGCAGCTGCATTGTAGCCACAGCTGCCCTGGGGCGCACTGACAGAGGCGAGGCTGCCGGACACTGGCGCCACGGGCCCTCTGTCTTGCCCAAAGACACAATTTCCGAGCTGGGACTCGAACCGGCAACCTTCCGATTACAAGACGAACTGCCGCCAATAACCCCAAATCTTTCATTTTCTGAATGATATGCATCTAAAATAAAAGTACTCATTAAGGAGTGAACCTTTTTAAAAGGAGATCCTCCGGGTGACCTTTGTGTTAACCTCCTCTCCCAGTCTAACTCAATGGTAGGTTAGAAGGTTTTCTGCATGTTCGTTGCTTACAGGCCAGAAGATTAAAAAAGGGTTCAATTGATTCTGAAATAAAGTCCCTTTAAATTAATCTGTTAAATATATGCTAGTGCAACTTATACTGCTTTTTTAAACTCATACGGCTTAAACACATTAATATAAAGAAGGGATTTTAAATGATTTAATGGCACCGTCCCTCTTTCCTCTAGTTTCCAGAATCATAGACTGCTGCTGGTTTGTTTAACACCTTCAGCTTTACCGAAAAGCTCAGCAGCAGATTAATGTCAGGAGCTTCAGGCGAGTCTCTGATTTCTAACAGGTTTGCTCACGGCGTTGGTTAAATCTTCCTCTGATGGCTGTCTCGACTGCAAACAGACACAGGCCACATTTTCCTTGACGGTGATTAGATTATCCTGAAAACACCAAATAACTGCAGTTTGTGCGACTCCTGGCTATTCAGATTCGACTCGATGGCACTGATGGGAGCAGAGACTTAATTCAAGTCGACGTGCTCCTGAGGTGAAGCTCAAGCTTGCGACCTTTCAGATACAAGATCATCTCTTTAACTCCGAGACACAGTCAAGTCACATTAATAAATCAGAATTTGTTTTGCTCCCGTCTCAGCAAATTCAGTGTGCTTTATTCAAAAAGAGACGTGACTAACTGTGACTTGACGGGCAGCTCTCCTTCAGGGATATCTTGACTGATCGCCAAGTCCCTCTAGATGAAAGTCTCAACACTTGGCAGCCATGTTTAAAACATCTCTGGGCGGCTATTTAAAGCTTCGATCTAAATGAATCGTCTTTCCTCATTACCATATCCGTAACAAAGACACAAAGACTAAACTAGCTCTACCTCAAACAGATGCAGCAGTACTGACGTAGATCCGGGGATTTTAATACTTGAAGCATATTCACTTCTGTATTTGTTCAGGGCCTTTTGTTCCAGTGAAGAGACAACATGACGTTACTTGAGACAAGAGTGCTTCCAGCTCTGCATCGACAGTCTGCCCTGTGCGGCCATCAAGCGCACAGCCAGCTCCTTAAAGAAAGGCTTTGCCCAGTTTGGTGCGAAGGAGTGTAGTAGAGCTGTGACCAAAGACTGTATATAATAGATGGCTGCAGCCACTGTCACTTTACCCACCATCATATCTTATACTGAAGCCTTGGATCACTTTGAGCTTTGTCATGTGGTTGTTCTCAAACCAAATGTGCTGAGAAAGGGCTCACAGGGCAGCCACGCTGTAAATCACACCCCGCTTTATCCTGCTCCATAACTCTAATGAGACCTTAACTACCAAAACAAGCATCACGATGTCTTAATAAGACTTTAAAATAGCAACTGAGGCCATAAACCCATAAGGAACATGTGTCCTGGTGTCATAAATCAAGTGAGAAGTCGGGTCATTTTATCATTGACTTCTATAGGATCTGACTTCTTTTTGCAAATAGAGGAGCCGACACGTTGCAGCAGCACAAACTCCTTTTTTAATATCACTGATGGATTTTTCAAATATTTAAATTACACTCAAAGGTTTGTCAGCTATTTTGCAAGATATGTAAAGAAAATCATAAAATTAAATTAAAATTATTTTAATTTATCTAAAAAAAATAATTAAAGACACAGAATTTTAAAAATAAATGTACATTTTTTTTCATTTAATTAGAAATAAATCAGAATATTGTTAAGTTGTGGGTTTCATTGAATAAACTAAAAAGAAAAACATAATACAAAGCCTCCCTTTAAAACACACCTGGGGGGTTGTATTAACAAAATAATACAAAACATTTAATAAACTGAAAAATGAGAAAGATTGTTTATTGGCTAATCAGCTGATCCATGTGTGTATGTTTTGCTCCGTGTTACCAGTTGTTTTATGAGCCAGATGTATTTGAACTTCAGCAGCTGTATCTTACTGCACTTTACTGTATCGGTCTTCAGTTCTGCAAAGTCATGACATTTAGCTACTGATAATATTGATTAAAGGCTGGACCAAACCCACCGCTCCCAGTGCCCCTTGAGCTCTCTATCAGCATGTGTGTGTGTTGGCTGGAAAAGCACACACGCCCACGCCCACAAAGTCAATTAAGCACTCCCCACGCTGTGGCCTGTGTTTTGCTGGAAGCGCCAATGAACACAGCATATCCTACCTGCGTACAAGCCGGTCCTATTAATCAGCCTCGACAGTCTCTATGGAAGCGAGCGAGTCAACTCTGCTTCGTTTAAATCAGACCAACAAAAATAAAACCCTCCGACACACTGGAGAAGCAGGTCTGTGTGAAACAACACAACAAGAAAAGAAACCGCGTGTCACTTTTCCCGCACTTGTCTTCAGACTTCCTGCTTACACTTCCTGTCCATCTCATCGCATCCTAGCAGTGTCTCAACAAACTTCATCACTGACCTGAACTGTAATTTTGTTGCCCCACAACAATCTTGCAGCAGCAGCGATGATGCAACTCTGTTAAAAGGAACTCTCTGCAGGCTTTCTGAACTGTGAAACCTTAAACACTGGAATCTTTTAAAAACAGGAAGGTGGTGGTGAACTTAAACGTTGAATTAACTATTTTGATTACGAACTACAGGTACTGTTTAAATACGCTTAAATAACCAGGTGGGGTCATTTGTGACTTTTTGATGGTTCTGTTTGTTTAACACTGAATGTCATTTATGCATCAGTCACGTTCTGCAGCAGTAAATCTTTCTATTCCAGGTCCATCATCCACAGGTCACAGCAAACTATCACATTGCAGTCGTGAAAAGTGGAAACTTTAAAGCAATCTGAGTGTATAATGTCAAACTTCTTTACATATAGATATTTTTGGAACACTAATGATCCAGTTCCCTATAAAAGTACCTTACAGCTGGCCTCATATATTAACCCACTTGCAGGTTAAAGAGAAAAAAGCTTATTATCTCAACTCAAATGGTTTCACCTGATATTCTGCTTAGTTTAGATACTATACACTCACAATGCTGTGACACACTCACTCTGGACACAGCAACACTGCTGAAAAAGTGCGGACTATATCAGACATGCAATCTGTTTGTAAAGTGATGACGTATCGACCACGTTTCCTGCTTTGGATGAGCCTTTCGTCGTGTGTCTCATTTTTCTGAGCAAACATGAACTTCCAAAACCTGTTTAGCTATTCTCTGTGTTTTCAGCCTTTTAAAGGGATTATTTATGAGCAGGATGTCTTTAAGTTTCTAAAAACTCATCGTTTATATGACAGCATCAAATGTTTGAACACTTTCAGTGTGGACATTAAGCTTAGGATCAGGACTTTTTCATAATTCAAATCATGCAGCAGCATATTAATGACTGAGCTCATGTTGCAGACACTCTCTTGACTCGAGTTTGGTCATTTTTCAGGGACCTTTAACCTCCTCTGCCTTAGCTGTGCTAATATGTTTATCTCAGCCTCTCAGCCCTGTTAGCTGCATCACGCACACATCATAAGCTGCCAACTACCATACCCAGAGCCCTTCTGCCTCTGTGTCCATCCAGCGTTACATACTTCAGTCAGAACACAGCATATCATCTTTAAAATCTACCTTCTTGCTTAGCTAAAGCTCATAAATCCTCGTTTTCATGCATCTCTGGATGTTAAACACCAGGGAGCAAAGCCACACTCATTATTTTATTATAGCTGAACCTTTTTAACGCTCAGGCACCTCAGCGTTTGATAGATTTTGAGGGCTAATTGAGCATTTGGACTGGAAATGGTTAAAATGTTAACAAGCAGATACTCACATTTAAGCAGGCGTTATCTAACACGACAGAGGCTGGTTCAACCCCAAAAAGAAAAAGAAATCTCTAAGTTTACACAACCTAACCGGTTTGATTTCTCTGAGCATGTGTGTTTAAAGTGTGGAAGCTGTCCCTTAGGGTACCTAAAGCGCCAGCTGAGTGTGTGTGTAATGTTGTGTTACAGTGCCACATAAGCTGTGGAAACAGACACGCAAACAAGAAGCAGAGAGCGTAAACTTTCGCGCTTTAACCAGGAAAATTGGCCCTGAAGGCGACTCAAAGGTAATTTTGCTTATTACAAGGTGCTGGGTGAGGATGGTGAGTTGTGTTACACACTGACTGGTATGGAGGAAGTGTTTCGCTGCAAAATAGATCGACGGCTGAAAAAGGAAGAAGTGCGCAGTGACAGGTCGGCGGAGTGACGCACCGACACGCCGCAGCTGCAGCAGCTGAGTCGCTCCTCGGTACTGGTCTGACCCGTTCCCCGTGCTTCCCTGAAAACGTTGCCTGAGCCCTCCTCCGGGCCAACGTTACGCTCTGTGGATCTCCTCATTCGATTCAAGCGACACTGAGAGCAACACATGGCTCATAAGTGCTCGCTGCCTCCCAGGGCAAACTGCTGATGATGTGCACGGGCACTGCGGTGAGGAGGACGGATGCCAAGACATGCCAAAAAAAATCCCAAAACAAAACAGCGCATCCACCCACGTCTACCCCGCGCTTCCACCACATCACATTTTACGCGCAAAGCCACGGTTCCACTCTTTACGCGTTTACGCACCTGCGCGACCACATCAGGAGTAAACTTTGCCGACAATCACAGATTTAATCTTACACACAAACATCTGGATGAGCCACAAACGGCACAGCTGGACCCCAAAACGAAGGCTGAGTGTTCGTCTTACCTCCTGATGTGATGTGAAGTGACGGCAGCCGGAGATCTGCTGTGGTGCCGCGAGCCGGTGACCAAAAACCACCAAAGTGCAAAGACTTACAAGACTTCCTGTTCAGTCCCTGTCAAAATAAAATCCGCACAGGCAGGACGGTGAGCTTTCTTCCATGTATTTCCAACTTGGTGACATAAAGCTACTATGGTAGTTCTATTAAAAAATAAATACATCTAAAATAAAATACGAACTCACAGAATACAACTACAGCTTGTTTTAATAACATTTCAAATAAATACAAATTTAAAAAAAAATAATTAGCGAAGCACAATTAAAAGACTATAATTAAATGAATAATCGATTATGTTTTATTAAAAATAAAATAAAATAAACAGTAACATGATCAAGCTGAGGGGTTTGTTTTGACTCATCACACAGGAGTCTGACTGTTTGTCAGTCTGCATACTTTACAGACGGTATTGAATGTAAAAAGGTAAGAAGGTAAATGTGAGTCCTGAGATGACCCACTGGCAGGAAAGAAGGACAAAACACCAGTGTGCTGTCATTTTGATTACTTTCTTTTCCTTTTAAAAGTAGTTAGTAATTAAGAATAATGTCATTTTATCTCCAATTGTTGAGTATTTTAAGAAGCTACACACAGTGTTGGCTTTCACTCAACTTCCAGTCAGTTTGTCAGCACGTATTAAGATCTCTGAAGACACTGGAGTAAAACAGTGTAAACAGTAATAGACACAATTTAAAGTGCCACACTGACGGTGTTTACAAGAACTTTACTTAATTTAAATCACTCTATTAAACTGAATTTACAAAGGTTACCTAAATTATTTTTATTTATTTATTTTTGCATATACTATTATATATTGTACATATATTTATTAGTTTCAGATGTAGCCATTTGTATATTTTGCCTGTTTATGTTATTGTATTTTGCACAACTCTGTTGCTTGTGAAGCTCGCACACAAGAATTTCACTCGCATGTGCTTTACCAATGTACCTGCACATGTGATGTGACAATAAAAGTGATTTGATTTGATTTGAATATACTCAGATATATGTCTGCGTACTGATGAGTATGTTTGGGTCACATTTATCCATCCATTCACTTCTATATTTCAGTTTGTGCTGTTTTAAAATGCCAGTCTGGTGTTTATGATTGAGAAATACATTTTTTGGCAACAGGAGTGGCACAGACTCAGTCAGAGAGAGCATTAAAAGGGACTTCGGGTTTAGGTGGCTTGCAAGTGTGCACAAATTATAACAAAGGCTAAAGGAACTTAATTAGCATATCCTATATGAGATTTTCCTGCTTAAAATAAGAATATGTCGAGTTGTTCCCTTTTTTGTGTTTTCAGTTTTGTGGAATGACGTCAAGGAAACAACGTTCAAATTTATTTCTGACTTTACTTTGAAGAGCACACTGCGATACTTCCGGATCACACAGTTTTTCTGTCTCTACCTTGATGAAGTTGATAAGACACAGTGGCTTCCTCTGTGAAACCACGCCTGAAAACCTCTGTAGCTCATTGCACTCAAGAACAAAAGTTACTTGCCATGAATTTAGAAAAAAAACAGACAAACTTCATGTAAAGACTGAAATATAGAAACAATGAAGAGTTACTCACAAACTGAAATGCTGACTTATTCAGGCTGATTGCCACACATGCACTCTGCAGCTGGGCCACATGATCTGTGTTTATGTGGGAGAAGAGGAGGAGGATAGCACAGAAACACAGTACTCATTTCTGGGTAACTGTGTCATTCCTTCCCTTTTTTGGTTACGTCCCTTTATCTGTAGGATATGTGAGAAGTTCGGTCTCTGATGGTAATCAAATATGCAAATACTCCCACGGGAAAGTGAGAGATTACTGCACCTAATTAGAGGGTTTGAGACCAGAGTTTCTGGGTAAAAAAGAAACTGATATCATCATTTTGTGGTGCAATGCCACATTTGTTGCACTCATATGTAGTTGGGGGCAAAGATTTGGACAGATGTTTACAGTTTTACTAAGTGTAGAACCAAATTAAAAGAATCATAAACATGTCTGTTTATACATGGCCACAGGGGGCAGAAGTCTAAGCAGAAACTGGCCTTTCCCTGACCACTTCCTCCAGCTCCTCCAGGGGAACTCCAAGCCAGCCGAGAGACGCACCCTCAGACCTGAGGGTGTCCCTGAACACCCTCTCGTGCTCCCCTCAGCTTTCTGGCCAGCGGTATTATCTGACCAAAACATCTGATGTGTTTTGTTAATATGTCCAGACCACATCAGATGGTCCTCATTCTGGAGAAAGCCCTGGACCCCTTTATATTGCATAAGGGAAGAAAGCATTTAAGGGGCCACTGTTCCCCTGAAAGTGCTCCCATCCGACATGGGAGAGGCATAAAAATGTGTATACTGTAATTAAAAGTTGGACATGTATTCTTTCTAAAGCCCAGCTGTGGAAACTCTGCTGGATTCAAGTAAAAGTTGGATTTCACTCTATGGTGGGCTGGAGCTACTCTTCACCTGTTCTGTGATCTCAGTAAACTCTTCCCTGGTGATGTCAAGGTGCCTACGTGCATCTGCACACGTCAAATCTTTCTACACATTCAGATGACAAATCTCATATTTATCATTCATCTTATATTTAACCTCATTGATTCTGTTTACAGATAATACCACAAACATAAAAGATCATTAACGGGCCACAAGACGAGGCCCCAAAACAAGGCAGGAGAAAAACCTCCAGAAACACAAACAAACAAAAAGTTAGAAAATTGGCAAACTTAAGGAAATGCCTGAAAACTCCCGTAGGTGTTTGGGGGGGCAAACAGGGGCGTAGATATCATGGAAAGCGATTAACTGATTAACATCAGAAAACTGGAGTAAAATAACAAAGGGAGCGCAGGCTCAGCCAGAAACTGTTTATGAAGGAGGAGCTCGGGTGGAGGTGACTTAATAAATGGCTGAAATGTGTGGAGCAATGGTAGGTGTAGGCTAAAGCACCTGAAATATTGTACCCATATGAGATTTGGCTCGGCGATCGTGGCTCAAGAGTTGGGAGTTCGCCTTGTAATCGGAAGGTTGCCGGTTTGAGCCCCGGCTCCGACAGTCTGGGTCGTTGTGTCCAAGGCCCGGTGGCACCAGTGTCCGGCAGCCTCGCCTCTGTCAGTGCGCCCCAGGGTGGCTACAATGTAGCTGCCATCACCAGTGTGTGAATGTGTGGATGACTGGATATGTAAAGCGCTTTGGGGTCCTTAGGGACTAGAAAAGCGCTATACAAACACAGGCCATTTGCCCTCCTGACTAAGGCTATGCTGGATCCGTTCACAGTTTGGATGCTTCCTGCATTGTTTCTGTCATGAAGTTGACCTTTGTTACTCTTCATTTCCTGTTTTGTTTTTGCCTGCTTTTCCACCTCTGTTTCCCTGTCAGTCATCTCTGAGTATGTCAGTCGCTTCTGCACAGGGAGTTTGCTAATGAATTGTAGTATCTGCAGTCAAAATAGGAGCCGGTTGACTTCTCTAATTACTACAGATGGGCAGGTCAGTGCTTTTTTTATTACCTCCTTTAGCAGAGGACAGACTGGATCGACCCACACCTGATAAGTCACACGGATCAATAAAATGTTAATTAACCATCTGTTTCCCATTTCATGCATTGACCTGCTGCTGAACTTTAGATGGATGAACTTTGAAATCAGCTTCTCAGTGTTGTTTTGTGTGAATAAAGATTATTAGCTATTTTTAAAAATGCTTAAAGTCAGTCTCATATTTGGTTTGACCAATTTGGTTGTGAATTTATATTTTTCAGTGGTGCTCTGTGTTATGAACTGCATGAAATAACACAGCAAGAACTCACAACAACTGTGCCCACTGTACAGTTGTTTTCCATTTGTTTCCCTTTCTAAGCTGTTTTAATATATATCACAGTCTGACTAAAATAGATTTCATCTATCAACCTCATATTTCCAGGGGGGGGGGGGTCATCATAATTAAGTTTTGGCATAAAGGTGTGACATTGCTTCAGTCACAGAAAAGAGCATAAGGACCTCAAGTGGTAGTGGGCTGCAAGCCACTTTGCATTGACTGAGCAAGCTAAGTCTCCTCTGTGTAGCCTCCTCTTCTTGAGCCAAGTTGGTAACATTCTTTAATTCTATTATTTATGCACATGACAATAATTCAAATTCATGTATCTCAAATGCAGGCTGCACAGCTTCTGATCAGGATATTTTCTGTCTCTGCTTTGATGTAGTTGAGTGGCTTCCTCTGCAAAACCACATCTGAACTTTTGCAGCTCTTTGCTCTGAAGAAGAAAAGTTGCCCAGCTTGAAAAACAATGACCATGTGACAGGAAAAAAAACTGCACGCAGCTTCAACCCTCCGTCACATTCTTAACCTTCTGAGGTCTGTGTGGTACGGTCCTAACCATGACTCTAACTAACATTACACTTTCATCCAAAACATCCTTTTGCTACTCTCCGAAATATAACAATGTAAGATTAACACCAGTGCTGATTTAGAGCTCGGGTGATTGAGGAGCCTGGTGTAAGAGGAGTCTGTCCTTGACCTCATGATGTGAGCTAAAGCGATTAGGAGGAGACCCAGGAGGTGATTTCTCGACTACTGACTGGAGCCGTTGTCTTAACGTTTCTTTGCCGGTCCTTGTGTGCCCATTTATTCTTTCCTCTGATTTCTAAACTGGTTTTCCAGCCTGTCAGACAGTTTGTCCCGTTGATGCCTGCCTATTTGTTAGTAATAGAGGAGTTTGGTAAAAGCTCACCTCTACATCTCTTTGGATTCATTTGCACTGGTTTGAGAGTAGGGTTGCTGTGAGCCAGTGGCTCTGGTGCTGTGCTTGGATCAGGATAACTGATGGCAGGTGTGTTTTATTGTGCTTCCTGCCTCTTCTGTTTATGCTCCAGACTGCAAACAATGCTGTTACATGATCTCGTTTTTGTGTGCAGGCGAGGACCGGCTTGTTCGGCAGTCTGTGCAGGGAGGTAGTCTTGT